TCTGTATTGTTGCCGAATCATTGAAATCGAATAACAATGTACCATTACATGCTCACAACACACTACACAAGTGATGAATCATAAGTAAAATAACAGCAATGCTGACCATTTGATAATCCCCTACAACCTTGCCAAGGTTAGACATTTAAAGATAACAAGATTTTGTCTGGATAGCTAGAAGAGAGATAACAAATATACATTTTATAATCAAATATTGATTTTTTTTTCCTCCAGTTTAAGTGACATGGTGTCAAAATGACATTGAAAAGTGCTGAGATCACACTTTCTTCCTGAAGGGTTCACTGGATCATTATCTTGCAGCAGTGATTTGTTGATTTTTAATTTTTTTTTTTCCTTTTCAGTGCATTTCTACAAAATTCGGTATAGAAGTACAGTAGACTAAGTTCAGAGACTAGGATTATTCAATATCTGTATTGTTCCACCAATCTGGATGGATTTCAATGAGTGATGTTGGATTTCATTTGAATTAATATGAATTAAATTGTGAATGAAACCTTAATCCTGCCCATAATCCTAAAATCCATCTTCATTTATTTTCATAAAACCTGAGTGCGATTTGTCACAAATGTCCAGCTGTCATAATCAGTACTAAATAAACTCTCAAAGAGTTGATGTGAATGAGTGCTTGTAAAACTACCCACTGCACTTTCTATTTTTAAAAATAACTTCTACATGGAGTTAAATGTTTTTTTTTCAATTGCTAAGAATTAGCAAGCTACACGTTTTTCCTTGTTATTAAAAAATTATGACTTTTAGAGAATTTTGTCAATGTTGTAATAGCTACAGAAATTATGTTTATATAGTTATGTGTTAAAGAAACAATAAATTTAACAGCAATTCAAGCTAACATATACAAAGTATTATTTCATAATTAAAAAAAAAAATCTTCTTCTGCTTACGGAAGCTAAAGGCCTCCGTTTATATGAGGCAAATGTCCTTCAGGGGTAACATCATTTATTTTGTACCTATAGTGACTTAAACACTGGTTTCATTAGACTATATATATATATATATATATATATATATATATATATATATATATATATATATATATATATACTTACATATACAGTAGAGAGAGAGAGATTGAATTGACTGTTTGGGTTTTGTTTAAAAATAAATGTAATCTGCACTTTTATCAGCTGCCTCTACATAATTGTGACACTCTTTGCACTTTAGCCCCAAGAGGACAACCTTTTGTCCCAGCAGTGGGGTAACTTTGTCCCATTTTTTCATAGTAATGGAAAGTTGGGTTCTATTTAAGCCTTTTCTATTCTTTAATAAGCACATATTCAAGCCTGTGTACATCTTATTACATTCACAGTCTGTATCTATTGTTTTACATATTGCTTTTAAGCTGTTAGTTTAAATAGTATATTTTAACAAGCTATGAAATGTCTAGTTACTACAGTACATCGTTACTGTTTTTGCTGTGTAGTAACTTTACCAAGTGCAGCATGATCCATATTCATGCATTTAATTTGCAAACCCTTGTGATTAACTAAGCCTTCCTAAAATGTGACTACATGTGGATGTAGGTTGCTGTAGTATATTAACCTATCATGTTTGAAATAATCTCTTGTGCATTCGATTCATGTTTTTTATACAATTATGGCTGTGGTGTTTTGTTTTGTTTTTTCAAAAAAAGAAAAGAAACTGATTTGTCCAACTCAGTGTGGGAGTTAAGTGATGACACCAACACACCCATGGCAATGGATCTTGGATGCAGCATGTTCACTGATAGCTTTTCAGGTTTCCAGTTCTTCACTCCATTGGGTTCCCAGGGTGAGTGGATCGTGTCATTGATGGGTTCCACCTGTGTGCATTATCGGCTCGGTTCGATGGTTCAGTTCATTTCGATTTCGCTAGTCAGGGCTCAGTGCACAGAACCACCTGGCATGCATGTAACACAAAACGCCTGAAGGCCAAGCATCTTTATTTATGCAGAAAATATCAGCAAATTCACTATAAGTTAATACAATTTTCTGTTTCAATTTTTTTTTTTTTTTTTTTTATAAATAGCTTGCTTGTTAGCTTCTTAGAACTGTACAAAATTCCCAAACCAACAGTTCTAGCATTGCATCGATGCTATCTATGCCATAGATTCTAACATTGCATAGATGACATTCCATTTGCAAACTGGTTTGATCAATTCCTTTAAATATAGTTTACAATAATACATATAACTACATACTGTTCATGTGCTATAATTAATTAATATCGCACAAGCAAGAGTATATTTATTACGAATATCAGCACACCTGTCAGGCTGAGTGCCATAGCTAATCACAGCCATGCCAATATTCATTATAACTGCACTCTTGCTTGTGTAATATTGTATTAATACAACAAATCTATAATCAGTAACTTAATATTGGCAACTGACATTTCAGACACAATATGGTCGAATAGATTGTTTATTTTTGTTCCTGAAATAAAGAAACCACACAGTGGGTAACGTGCTACTCTTTGGGCCACAATGATTTCTACATTCCCATTAAAGGTGTATCTGGTAAAATTGGCTTCCCTTCTTTCTTTTCATCTTCAACTGACAAGCTTTTATATTTTAAGTCAGAAATAATATTTATGAAAAAAGATATCCTTTGCCATGCCCACTGATGATATTGTTAAATCTACTGTAGTACCCATTAAGTGGGACTGTTGCTAGAAGTGGAATTTTTGTGGTGAACAAAGTTGAGCAGAGTGATACACACAGTGAAATATCCCAGTGTGGTTATACTAAATATAAGCACTCTCAGAACGCAATTCTCCAATTGAACTATTGGATACTAACTAACTGCTGTATGAAAACAAATTCTTCCACTATATGCTATAGTCTCTCAAACTGCATACATGTGCTTTGGCTGTTTATTGGATGAAACAAAACATAACACCTACAGAGATGACTGTTCAGATTAAGTTTAGTCTCAGGGTTCCATATTTTGTTTTCTTATGGCTCAACAGTATCTGAAATTACTTATTATGATAATGGTTAAGTCTTTTCTCAGAATGAACTGCACACCTAATTTGAGACTAGTCCTAGAATAAAGAATTTCACAGGAAGTATCCATCGATAATAAAATTTGGGTCATTTTCACACTTGACTTTTTTTTTCTCGGCCCTGGGCCAGTTTTCACTTCGGTGAAGTGTGAAAGTGTTTTTGCCCTCAAGATTGGTACTCCCTGGTGCTCTTGAAAATTATGCTCTGGGGCTTACTTCAACTGATTACTGCTGTGGTACACATCAGGTGTGGAAGCTGTCCACTGTCAGCGAGTAACATGCATGCTGAGTAACATGATTAGTTAAACTTTTGAGTGCTGAGTTAAATAATTGCTTATGTTATGATTGTTATGTTGCTGACCATAACAACATTTTCCAAAAAGAGTAACACGATTGGTTCAATCTTTCTCAATTTCTCGAGTTTTGAAACCAAAGATGAACAGATGAACATACTGCCTACCATTTCTAGCCTGGCATGAACAACTACATGCACAAAACTAACATATGGAATTGCACAACTTATCAGTGGTTCAGGACATCTTCTAGGTGTAAGCAAATCTGATATTAACAAGCCCAATAATCTGGATATGGACTGAAGAATTTGAGGCAAGTGTGAAAACATCCTTAGTTTATGAGCACAAAAGGAGACTGGCCCAATACTGCAAGTCATCTAAACTCATCAAGGCAATAACAAGTCAAAGCATTTAAACCAATAAACCAATGCTTTTTGAGTCATCTGAGTATCATAGAATCATAGAGCTGAAGCTCTTTGATAATGTTATGAGCCAATTGATTGACAGTCTTTTGCCATCAGAAAACTCATTGGTTTTGATTTCTCTCCAACAAACTGTATCAGAAAAGAATTAGCTTCCATGGCTTATACATTAAGACAACTTAATCATGGGAAAACACTTAAATATCTGTTTAAACTATAACATAGATTAATTAGCACTGCTGATGAGAAATATCTTGATTTGTTTTTCTTATACACGCACATGCACATGTTCTACTTTGAAGGCGGTAATTTAAATTCTTAGGGAGCTCTTGTGCTGTCATTATGAGAAACAAGGCTGTAATCAACCACTAAGACAGGCTCTAATTACCAAACACCCCCTTGTCTTACTCTGACTGCAATCGTCCTAAATTGCATGCACTGCTGAAAGCCCACATACCCTCATACACCCCATGCAACACCCTATTAATGTCATAGCTGCTTCACTTTTTCCCTTCATTCCTATGCAACTCCCCAGGATGCCACACCTGGACTTTGTCCCTGGTTCACATCTGATTGAATATATCACAGTAATTTATACTCAATAAATATAGAGACACGTTTTTTAAATACTTAATAGTACTCTGACAGGAGAGTTCATCCTTTTACAAAAATAGCTGACACTTTTTTGTATTGACTGATGAAGCCAGTCATTTTACTAATAGCAAAAAGGTTTGCATAACCTCAATTTGTTAAGTGTTAGAAATGTTCAATCATCATCTCAATTAAGTATTACTTTCATTAACATGTGCATTTTCTTTTCTGATTAAAATTATAATGCGAATCATTACAGTGATAAGAGTGTTCTCTAATAATTTTTTTGCCTACCCTTTGCCGTACACCATGTATTATGGTACATTTCATCAAGAACAAATGGTTGCAAACTTCCATCAATCCATTTTCCATACTACTCATCCTGCACAGCGGATACTGGAGACTATCCCAGGGAACGCAGATCACACACACTACATATCTGACTATACTATCTGTACTGTTTTTCATTTTATGTGTCTGATGTTCATTGTTCTTCACATTTTGTGGTTATCCATGATTGTTCATTGTTTATGTTTTATTGTATTGATAATGTAAAGCATCCTGGAAAGATGTAATCAGCCTACAACACATGTCTTTGGACTAGGGGAAGAAACTGGAGTACCTGGAGAAAATCCCCAAAGCACGAAGAGAACATGCAAGCTCCACATACACTGGGCAGGGGGGGATTTGAACCCCCCAACCCTGGAAGCACGAGGCAAATGTGATAACCACTAATCCACCCTGCCCCCTAGGTTGCAAACTTGTGAATCAATATTAATCAGTAAGAAGAAGAAGAAGAAAATTGCATTTATTTTAATTATAACAAGGCCTCACGTCTGGGTTTGTACTTAGTACATTAGGTTAAGTTGGATAAATTTTGGATCATAAAATTGAAATATAGTACATTTTGAGAATTTTATCCATCCATCCATCCATCCATCCATCTTCTACCGCTTACTCAATTTCAGGGTCACGGGGAACCTGGAGCCTATCCCAGGGAGCATCGGGCACAAGGCAGAGTCCACCCTGGACAGGGTGCCAGTCCAACGCATGGCACATGAGAATTATATATCCTCATGTGATGCAAATGTGATGCAAATTTATCTGTCCTATGATTAAGCAGCAGAGTCCACTTTTCTCATAAAGTTATGCAGCAGGAAACAGTGGCAGCAGATATAAGTTGAGTTAAGATAAAATATACTGCATGGCCAAAAGTATGTGGACACATGACCATCACACCAATATGTGGGTCTCCAAACTATTGCCTAAAAATTGGAAGCACACAACTGTATAGAATGTCTCTGTATGCTGTAGCATTACCATTTCCATTCACTGAAACCAAGAAGCCCAAACCTACTCCAGCATGACAATCCCCCTGTGCACAAAGCGAGCTCCATAAAAGTTTGCCAAAGAACTCAAGTGTCCTGCACAGAGCCCTGACCTCAACCCCACTGAACACTTTGGGATGAACTGGAACCTCGACTGCACACCAGGCCTACATCTGTACCTGACCTCACTAATGCTCTTGTAGCTGAATGAAATAAATCCCCACAACCATGTCCAAAATCTTCTCATCCAAAATCTAGTGGAGAGTCTTACCAGAAGAGTTATTATAACAGGAATGGGGGACAAATCTGACAGGGATGTTCAACACATATGCAGTGTATTTAGTAGTAAATAAAACATTTGATTTGAGAATCATTGTAGTAAAACATGATGATGATATATCTTAATACTTTTTGTGGGGGGTTTTTCCTCTTGAAAGCAGGATGGAAAACTGACTACCATCTACAGCATGTTTCACATACTACAACACTAATCAGTGGATATCCTTAAGTATTTCTCCTAAATTTCAATTGTGTTTTTGATCTGAATAACATTGTAGCATGTGAATCCTATGTATCAAATGGAAAGCTACCAGGACGGAAGAAGATGGAGAAGAAGTCATCCAAAAATAGCTGAAGGCATGGCAGCTTACGCTGATACATTATCTGATAAAGAGCAAAGATGCTGCTTGCTGTGGCAGAACCGTTATCTACAAAGACAGAGGAAGAGAGAGAGAAAGAGAGAGAGAGTGATAGAGAAAGAGAGGGAGAGAGAACGAGAGGCAGGTGCATGCCTGAGGGAAAGCTGATAGACAGATCTCCTTCATTTCTGTCTTTCCACTATGAAGGTCACTATTACTGACACATTTTCTGGGCACTTAATGTTTCAACATTCTTAACACATTAAAATAAACTTTGAAATTGATAGCAGTATAAAAAAAGTTGATGCAAAAACTTCTAAAACGTGCTTTAGACTGTCATAAACTAACCTTCTCTGGTGGTGTTAAGAAATAGTTCCTCTGATAAAATATTAGGGCTACCACCTCTCTCCTCTCTTCGTTTTCCCTTCTGCCCAAAGCAGCCACAGAGAGAGATTGATTCAGGCAAGTGTGTCAGGTCTGGGGTTATCTGCCCCCTACTCACCCAGGCCTGCCATACGCGCTCCAGTAGACAGGAAGCGGGGCAGGGGAGGACGCATGATAGAGCTGAGGGCCTTATCTCCAAGCATGAGCTCTATTGCTCTCACTGTGCCTGGGATTATTCACCGGATAGTCGTCAGCAAGAAAAATTACACCGAGCAGCTTCCAGTAGTATTCAGCGACACAGGGAGTGAGGCTTGCATTGGGCTGTGTAACCACGTTCAAGTGGATGAGGAGAGGGAGGAAGAGCTAGTGTGCAAAGTCTAGGTTAAGCAGAAATTATTGGATGTGAGTATACGGAACTAATGGTCACATTTAGAATTTGTATATCTTATTTATAACATGTACATTTCATGAAACATTAATTAAATGTGCCTTTAAGTGAAACTATAATAAAATCTTTGAATGTGTTTTCTCCTTTTTCACTTTTAGAGGTAACCAAATTTTAAAATGTTAGACTATTGTGTTTGAGATATTCAGCATTGCAAAGTTTATATTGTATGTGAAGTGTCAGTTCATATCAGCAGTATGAGCACTTTTTCTAGTGGAAAGAATTTGCTTGTTAAATGTATTTGTATCACGAATAAAACAGTAAAACAAAAATATCTGTTATAGGCTGGTCTAATGTCACCTGAAGTGAAGCCAAGTTCTTTTATTTATGAAAGATAACACACTTTTAAAAATTGTTTAAGATAATTTTTGTCTGTTTATTGTTACAATACGGCCAGCAGACGGCTCCGGACGAGTCACATGACATTGTTTTGGTTTGCTCGCTTCCGGAGTGAGCATTAGCTTTAGTGACTTTAACTTGCCACAGGTGTTGATGTTTTGTGTTTGATTATATTTAGGATAAAAACGCCTTGGTTACAGAACATGTCGCTCAGTATTATTGGTTATAGTATTTGTAGCGGTCGTATCGTTTGTCTCCATGTCTTGAAGGATATTGTTATATGCCACGTTTCTCGTTTGCCGGTGAAGACTGCGTTTACTTCGGTTTTGAGTTTTGTGATTAATAAAGACCTTGACCTGCACCTGCATCCGCCTCCTGTCTACGTGTCGTAACAAAATACTGAGCCCAAAAATGCAGAAGCAGCAGGTCGCCATGCACGCCGCCGAAGAATCTAGGATTTGGGCGCTGTACTGTTCCTTCCTGGAGAAGAGCAAACAGCTCAGGGAGGAAATTGCGCTGTGCAAAGCCAAGCTGCGCGCCGTGTCATCCCTCGTGCCATTTACCCTGTCCCCGCCGCCGAAGAGCGACACCGCGCCCTGCAGCCAGCAAAGTGAGCTGAGCATCTGGGGCTTCCCAATGAAGGAGAGCTGTACAGTGCCACACAGCCAGCAAAGCGACCGGAACATCTGGGGCTTCCCACTGCAGGGGAGTTGTACATCGCCACGCAGCCAGAAGAGTGAGCTGAGCATCTGGGGCTTCCCACTGCAGGGGAACTGTACAGCGCCACGCAGTCCAGAGGTGAAGGTTGGCCCAGAAATTTTTTTTTGGGGGGGGCCAACGAGGACAGCAGAACTCCAGCCTGAGGCCTACGGGGAGGTCTCAGCTGTGGAGCTCTCGCCTGAGTTCAACATGGCGACCTCAGAGCTACAGCTTGAGATGGCTGAGGAGGCCGCCCCGTTGCCCTGCCCGGCCGAGGAGGCCGCCCCACTGCCCTGCACAGCCGAGGAGGTCATCCCGCTGCCATGCACAGCCAAGGAAGCTGTCCTGATGTCCAGCCCAGCTGAGGAGGTCGCCCCGTTGCCCTGCACAGACGAGGAAGCTGTCCTGCTGGCCAAGGAGCCCGCCCAGTCTTCCAGTTACGCTGGGGACGCCGCCCAGTGTTCAAGTTCCAGAGCCACCGGGGGCGGCGCCCTGTATTCTGTCCGCCCATCTGCTGTCCGACGGAGGCTGCCTTGCTATCCGTGGCAGCGAGAGACAGCTCGCACAGGGGTCCAGGACCCCCGTTGGAGGGGGGATCTTGGTGCTCCTGGCGAAGCACCTTTTGGAGCGGGGTTCTGTTATGATACAGCCAGCAGATGGCACTGAATCTCGGCTCCGGACGAGGGGACGCCGGACACAGATGTTGATGTTTTGAGTTGATGCCAAAGAGCTCCATTTTGGTCTCATCTGACCACCAGAGGACAACTGGGTGAAAGTGTTGTGGTCAGATGAGACCAAAATGGAGCTCTTTGGTATCAACTCAACTCGCCGTGTAGGAGGAGGAGGAATGCTCCTTCCCTCAGCCAGGGCATTGAAAGTTAAAAGTAATTACCAAGTACAAAGTCATGTTTTGCAGAGGGGTCAAATAAATATTTCCCTCATTAAAATGCAAATCAATTTATAACATTTTTGACATGCATTTTTCTGGATTTTTTTGTTGTATTCTGTCTTTCACTGTTCAAATAAACCTACCATTAAAATTATAGACTGATAATTTCTTTGTTAGTGGGCAAACGTACAAAATCAGAAGGGGATCAAATACTTTTTTCCCTCACTGTATATATACAGTATCTTACAAAAGTGAGTACACCCCTCACATGTTTGTAAATATTTGATTATATCTTTTCATGTGACAACACTGAAGAAATGACACTTTACTACAAAGTAGTGAGTGTACAGCTTGTGTAACAGTGTAAATTTGCTGCCCCCTCGAAATAACTAAACACACAGCCATTAAGGTCTAAAACGCTGGCAACAAAAGTGAGCACACCCCTAAGTGAAAATGTCGCAATTTTTTTTTTAAGTTTCATTTTTATTGAACATTTCTGCTGAACATTTCTATATTTCTACAGAACATTTCTACATAACATTTTTACATTTCTACAAAACATTTCTACAGAACATTTCTACATTTCAACAGAACATTTCTACAGAACATGTCTACACTTCTACTGAACGTTTCATTTTTATTAAATATTTTTGCTGAACTTCTGATGAACCATTTCTGCTAAAATTTCTAATAACCTTTCTGCTAAACATTTCTGTTGAACATTTCTGCTAAGCCTATCTAAATCGCCTTTTCTGTTCTGTCCTCCCCACCCTTTCCCAAAAATAAAAACAAATTGAGCAACAGCAGTAAATATTCAAAGTTTTTTTTTTCTTTTTATCCAAAGGAAAACAAAATTAAACCCACAACCCGCCCCTCCGGCTCATCATGGCTACCCATTAACTGTCGCTGATTGTAAAGATATGATAAAATTCAACAACAGGCACCAACCTTTAAGTGGGTAGTGTCTGTAACTTCATAAATTATGCAATAAAGGGATGCCATTTATGAAAAACCTTATATGTAC